TCAGGATCATACCTACACATCTATTCATACTCCACTATAGATCTGGCATCGTCTACTACTATCTTTACATCTATCCATATATCCTCCTTTATACTACACCTTGATTACTCCACCCTCACTCGTCATATCTCTATACATATATATACTCTATCTTCCTCTACCTCTTGGTCATTAATAGTGTCTTTCTATCATGTTTTATAACTTGTTCCATGCTACATCGTCATTTTTTATTCTATTCTCAAATTATACTCAGCATCAGTGATCGAGATGCTCTGGACAACTATGGGTTTGCAGATTCATCCCGACGGCGTGGATGAGAAGGGCGTTTGGATGGATGCGGATGAAAAGGTGGGGGAGGGGAGTGGGGGGACAGGGGGATACGGGAGAGTGAATGAGAGGTGAGTTGGATGGAGGAGGATGGAAAGGTGGGGGAGGGGGTGGGAGGGGGGAGGTAGCAAAGACAGGAAAAGGCCGAGGAGGTAAGGAGAAATAGCAAAGAGAGTTGGAACGATGGATGAAGGAGGGGAGGGGGGAGGTGGTGAGAGGAGGGCGGGTGAAAGGAGGGTTTGGAGGCGGAGATGAGAGGTGGAGGCAGGGGGTTGGGGCAGAACCGACAATAATGTAGTCAGAACTCAAAGGTCACTAGGAATGGCAATGTGTTGTTTTTGGTTTGAAATGTGTTTGTTGTCTTTGGAGTGAGGACAGCAGGGAATGGGCTCCCCTGATCGTCAATGTCTGCTCCAGACCTGACACCTGGACAAGAACATAGCCCTGCTAGATACAAATATGCAAGTAGAATTTTAAAAGTGTTTTTACGCCCTCAACAACACAATTTAGATCATTTAAGAGGCCAAACCAGACTGAGGGATACAACATCCCAGCAGAAAGGCTATGATAATCGATAACAATAATCTCCCACTCGGGAATCGACCCCCCCCCCCCACACACACACACACGACGCCACAGAACAGAACACGTGAGTCACTCACTCATAGGTCTCGGCGATCCTAGTGATGCGCGTCTGTCCGTCCAGCTCGGCGGAGAGCGTGAGTACAGGCAAGGGGTACTCACTCAGAGAGTTGCCCTTGGTCAGATAGGCGCCCAGGAGAACCACGGCTTTCAGGGGCGAGTGTTTGGCATACGGGGGGAGGAACACGCCTGGGGGGGGGGGGGGGGGGGGAATAAATAATCGACTTTTTGCAGTTAAGAGTGCAGTAAAATCTTACTAAAACTAACAAAGGCACAGTGTTCCCTGACATTTAGGAAGACATTATCTTAACCTGTGAAGGGCTATTGCGACGTATCTAACATGTGGCCTCTGGGCAAATCTTCTGACTAGAGAAAACAACAGCAGCGCAGGCAGAACGTTTCTGTCAACAAAACCTCAGCCCAGTTGTGATTGGCGAAGAGCAGGGGGCGAGATGACCGAATCTGTGTGGTACAGACTGACCAAATGAACATTCTCTTTCTTTCTTTGTTTCTCTCTCTCACTCTCACTCTCTCTCTCTCTCTCTCTCTCTCTCTCTCTCTCTCTCTCTCTCTCTCTCTCTCTCTCTCTCTCTCTCTCTCTCTCCCTCTCTGTTCCTCTCTCTAGCTGGGCCCCTTTTCGATGAAAGGAATGATCGGTGCATCAACATCAACTGACAGTCATTGGCCTACTATATGTATATCATATTTACTCTCTACTGGAATGGAGCAATAAACTTTGAGAGAAAAGTGACAGTAACGTTTCCAAGGTGCCAAATATATAATAGATGTATATATTGGTTCTCTATTACGCTCTCGTGGTTGTACACTCCATCATTTCAAAGCTGTGGAATAAGTGTGACAAATAGATAGATAGATATTATCATATTCTCTTAAAGCCATGCACCTACCTCCCAAACTGTGTCCAACACCCACATACTTGTCTCCCTTCATCCCCGCCTTCTGCAGCTTGGCGTAGGCTCCCCTCATGGCCCCAGGGAGGTCAAGGGGCGTGGCCATGTTGTTCAAAGTGTAGTTTCCGGTCAAGGCCACCCACAGCCGGATGTTTGAGGCAGCCTGGATGGCCCGGGCTGGGAGAGGAAACAGATGACACAGACTATGACATGACACAGAGAACACAGGTGAGAGATTGTGACATGACACAGGTGAGAGATTGTGACATGACACAGGTGAGAGATTGTGACCTGACACAGGTGAGAGATTGTGACATGACACAGGTGAGAGATTGTGACATGACACAGGTGAGAGATTGTGACCTGACACAGGTGAGAGATTGTGACATGACACAGGTGAGAGATTGTGACATGACACAAGTGAGAGATTGTGACATGACTCAGGTGAGAGATTGTGACCTGACACATGTGAGAGATTGTGACATGACACAGGTGAGAGATTGTGACCTGACACAGGTGAGAGATTGTGACATGACACAGGTGAGAGATTGTGACATGACACAGGTGAGAGATTGTGACATGACACAGGTGAGAGATTGTGACCTGACACAGAGAAAATATTTCATCATAGTCGGAGGATCATGGCTAAAACTGATTACCAAAGAGGTTCTGTTTAGTACTAGAGTTTGTGGCAGTGATGCTCCCCCCCCCCCCTCTCTCTTTCTATATATATTATTTATAACCTCTTTGCTGGTGACAGAGTTTTTCACGACGACAAAGATAAAATATCTGTCGGGCCCAACCCCGGCTGAGGTCTACACAATTATATCCCAGCAGAAAGACCGAGACATCCGATACAAAAAATCTGCCCACTCGTGGGATTCAAACCCAGATGTCCCACGTACGACGGCGAGGAGACTAACCGGCACACTGAGGACGTCTGTACTGACAGCGTGATAGCAGAGTCTGAGAAACCTGGCATGTGAGCACAACAGCTGACAGGAAAGTTTTTGAAATTCATGACAAAGATAAAATACACAATGTCGAGTGTCCACACAATGGGAGAAAAATGGACGGGGCAGGGGAGGGGTGGTGGCGGAGGTGGGGTGGGGTGGGGTTATAGAAAGGGCAATAAGTCGGACATCTTCCCACCACTGTCAACAAAACGTGGAAGAAATAAAATTCAGTCAAGGAAATGTCAAGTTAGATTATTATTGTGGTCGAAAAACGGGCTAAAGCTTTTTCCTGAGGGAGATAAAAAACAATATGTAAGTATAGAAGTAGAAGTTTTGTTGTAGAAACCTAGCTAGGAACCAAAACAGCTAGGGCTGGCAGAATGGAGAAAGACAGTGTTTTATGGAAGGAAGGTCTGAGGAGAGAGAGAGAGAGGAGAGAGAGAGAGAGAGAGAGAGAGAGAGAGAGACGCCACCCATTTTCGCCACCCATTTTGAGAGAGAGAGAGAGAGAGAGAGAGAGAGAGA